GAAGAAGGTGTACGGCCGGAGCGGATTTTTTTTTCCGTTCCAATGGTCACAAGCTCTTACAGCAATGGAGGTAGCTGTAAGGGTGATCACCTCTCCACTTCCCGAGGCACCGCGTTCGGAGACGACCGTTTGCTCTGGAGAACTATTTAAATAGCATGGATAACTATGAAAACCCAAAAAAAAAACAATTGACAAGTGACGTATTTATGGACCCCGAGCAGGATGCGGCCAAAGCCGCTATAGTAAAAGTAGGCAAGAATGTTTCCGGTAATCTTCACCGAGACAGAGTAAACTCTGCACCATCGACTAGATGTCGTCAAACGCCGAACGGAGAGATTTGGCTCCAAAATTGACGAGCTAGCGGAGTATGTTAAAGATAGGAACAATGTTCACAGCAGAATAAAGGAGCTAATCAGGTCGAGTGATACACCATATAGCCTGGCATTGAAAGACTATACGGCAGCCCCCAAAACTGTCGAAATGACAGTGCAAACTACACAGACCTCTCCCGAGACAACTATTCAGCCGGATGTAACTCAGACACCATCCCCTAAGACCCAGGAGCAAAGTACAAACAAAAGACTGCTATCGTCACTTAGCCCCGCCTCTGACGCGAGAACACATCGGCCAAAAAATTGGCTGTACAAAATAACTGGACGGAAGTGGCTCGACGAAGTTCGAAGAAGAAAAGGACACGGGAGCCGAAAGTAACCTTGAAGGAAACCGAGAAACCGGAAACCGAAAAATCGAATCAAATGATAGAGCTAAGCACAGAAACAGCCATGATAGGAAAACTCGGAGGAAACATAGAACCAAGGCTGTTCTGGTTCAACCAGCTGAAGGATGAACGAGCGCTGATATCCTTAAGGAGATCAAGGAAAAAATAAACTCGTCAGAGACTGGCGTGAATATAAAGATATTGGGTGGGTTAACTGTCGCATTCGCCCAGTTGTTAAAGTGGTCCGCTGTTTCAGATGCCTCGATTTCGGACACCAAACGCATAAATGCGGGGAACCAGACAGAAGCAAGTATTGCTACAAATGCGGCGAGGAAAATCACAAGTCTGTAGACTGCACGGGAAAGCTAAAATTCTTCCTATGTACGGTAGACAAAGAAGAGCGGAACAGCGGGAGTCATGTCGCCGGATCCGATACCTGCAAGGCATTCCGTGTAGCACTTGCCGATGCCACGAGAGAACAGAAATGACGCGATTTTTACAAGATAATCTGAATAGATGTGCCTTGGCGCAGAATCTACTGCGCCAACGTATCTTCGAAGAAAAGATCGATATTTGCCTTCTCTGCGAGCAATATATGAATATTCAAGATAAATCATGGTTCGCAGATAAATCTAGTACGGCAGCAATATGGATCATAAACTCGAAGGAGGTCACCGTCAATGAAAACGGAAGCGAAGAGGGTTTCGTCTGGATCAAGACTCCCACGACCTACTGTGTGAGCGTCTACCTTTCACCAAATGAAAGAATTAGCGTATTTCGCCAGAAAATGGCAAGCATAGAAGACACTCTCGGCAAGTTCGACGGAGAAGTCATTGTAGCTGGCAATTTCAACGCAAAATCGGCTGAATGGGGCGCCGAATACTCAGACAACAGAGGAAATGACGTGGCAGACTTTGCAGCAAGATTGGGCCTTACTGTGCTAAATACTGGAAGTATTACAACTTTTAGAAGACCAGGATATAAGGAATCTATTCTCGACATTACGTTGGTCACTCCAGGTATAGCAAACATGATTGGAGACTGGACTGTATCTGAAGAGCGGCAGAGCATGTAACATTTAGTATTGGGTCTGGTCCGACTCGACCATGCAACTTTTACAAACGGTGGTGGAATGCTAGGAAGCTTGACCCCGAAGCGTTGCAAACAGCCCTCAAGCAAAACGCATCTACTTTTCAAGTTGATGCAACACTAAGTATCCGCAGAGAGACGGAAGAAACAGTCCTTAGAACTATGAATGCTATTATCACCTCATGTAACGCCTCTATGCCACGACCAAAAAATCAGGGTGTACACAGTCTAGCATATTGGTGGTCATCAGAGATAGCAGAACTACGAAAAATATACCACGCACTAGGCCGCCGCGCCACAAGAGCTGCAAAACGTTCCCCCTACCAAGATTTGTATACAAACGAATACAGACAGGCAAAAAAAAACCTAAATAAAGCCATAAAATCAGTTAAAGCCGGATTGTGGAAGGAGATTTGCAATGATCTTGACAAAGATCTCTGGGGCAAAGCCTATCAAATTGTCACAAGACGACTTGGTAGAGCTTTACCAGGAGCACCGAAATCTCTTACTCTGATGAAATGCATCGTAGCCGAACTATTTCCTAAACACCCGCCACGGGAAAGGAGACAATACGTGGAAAACAACTAGCTGTAAGTGGAATTCTGTCTTAAGGCAATTAAGGCATCGTGCCTTAAGGCAAATTGCTGGAACTTCCCGTACAAAAATTATTATTTTTTTTAAAAACGATTAACATTTTTGAAAAAAAAATTACATTGAAAAAAAATAAGATTTTTGAGAAACTATAAATTGGACAAAAAATAACTTTTTAATTAAAAAAAATTTAAAAAAAAAAAAAAAAAAATTTTTTTTTTTTGAAAAAAAATTTTTTTTTCTTTATTTTGACATATTGTGGAAGATCTGAACTTTTTTTCAAAGCAATCGTACTGCTTTATCTGCATAGGGACAAAATATAAAGCGCGTAAGCGCCGCGTCGCTGTCTAACGCATAAGCATTGGTACGGAACCCATAGGAATGTTAACAAAATGTATACTTATTGTTAAAATCTCTATAAAATATTTGATAATTTAATGTGCATATGTCCAATGATCATTTTTGACCGCCAAATGGCTCATTTTTTTACTTTTTCCTCCATATTTCCGAAACCGCTAGACCTACCTTCATGAAAATTTTATCGATTCTTCATCTTGTCAATACAAGTAAAATGTTTTTTAAATTATTTAAATCGGACGCTCCGTTCTCTTAAAAACTGAGTTACCATTTTCGGCACTTTTTGCCCCGTATCTTCGGAACGGCTAGAGCTGCCTTTGCCAAAAACTAATCAGCACGTCTCCTTATCAATACGAATCGAATGTTTTTTTAATTATTCAAATCGGTTGATCCGTGTTCCCGAAATCGTCGACGAAAATTTGTATCCGCACATACATACACACACGTACATACATACATACATACATACATACATACATACATACACACACACACACACACACACATACATCCATTTTTTTCTAAGGTATGCCAAAATGTTCAGAAACCTTTGAAACGTAAAGATATATAAAAATTTTCATTTTCGATTTTTTTGCGATTACTATAACTTGCCCTACGGGAAGTTAATGAACTACACCTTTTGCTGTCAAAGAACTACAAAATGCGGCGAAAACCATAAAGACAGAAAAAGCACCAGGCCCTGATGGCATCCCAGCCTCAGTGATCAAGACTGTATAGCCTTGGAATTTCCGTATATTCTTCTGAACGCCTACAATGCCTGTCTGGCGACCGGCACCTTTCCTACGGTCTGGAAGCGGCAAAGATTGGTCCTAATAGACAAAGGTAAGGGAACCCCTGTAATACCATCGTCGTTTCGACCACTCTGCATGTTAGACATTGCCGGCAAATTGCTTGAGAAACTCATTCAATGCAGACTGCGCAACGACATTGAATGCGCCGGAGGTTTTGCCAAGAACCAACACGGATTTCAAAAAGGACGGTCGACGATTGGCGCTATTCGGAAGGTAACGGAAACAGCAAGAGAAGCATGGCATGGTAGTCTTAAAGCTCGTAAAGTGTATCTCCTCCTTACATTCGACGTTAAAAACGCCTTTAACAGTGCGAACTGAGAGGATATTTTAAACCCTCTAGAGTATAATTTTGACGTGAAGCTAGAGAATCTAAGACTGATAAATGACTACCTCGATGAGAGAAAGTTGATTGTAGAAACGACGGAATGTCAACAAGAACACGAGGTTACAGCTGGTGTACCTCAAGACTCAATCTTAGGAGCCGATCTGTGAAACGCTGTCTACGACGAGCTCCTGGAGATCCCTTTGCTGAAGCAGGTGGAATTCACGGGCTTTGTGGACGACGCCGCAGCCACGATCGTACTGGACAGCACTGAGGAGGCTGAACTACTCGTTCGAGAGACCGTCGATACCATAGAGACCTGGCTTGAGAAACACCATCTAAAGCTCGCAAAACAAAAAACGGAGATGGTTGTCTTGACTCGACAAAAAAGGTTTCCAAAACCATTTACTGTAGACATAGCAGAGACAACCATGACGTCAACAAAGGTCTTGCGCTACCTGGGAGTAATGATAGATGAGAAGCTTTCCTTCCGAGAATACCTCGATAGTGCATGCATAAAAGCTAGCAAGACGGTATCCAACTTGTCAAGGATTATGGCTAACTGCCATGGGACCACGAACCCGAAAACGACGAGTCCTGCTTGAGCTAGTCCATTTTGTACAACTATACGGAGCAGAGATATGGGCGGATATCCTCAAGCAAAAAACATATCGGCGCAAAATAGCGTCGGTGCAAAGGTGAGGAGCTCTGTGCCTATCGCACGGTCTCAGAAGCAGCTGTATTGGTAATAGCAGCGGCCACACCAATTGACTTGCTAGCATTCAGAAAACTCTACGACGCTAAAATAGATGGCGCCCGCAACGTAGACGAAAAAAATGTTCACTTTTTATTTAATGCGATTTACAAAGAAACGGCTCGACCGATCGTAGCGCAAAGTCGACAAACGATAGTCCACATCGAGGTGCATCGAATGACTTTTAAGTTTTTGAAAACGTCGATTTACGGCAAAAAATCTGTTCCCACACACACACACTTTTTCCAAATTTGGTCTCATTCGATTCAGAATGGCTTGAAACGTCGAGAAAACATAAAATTAGCGAATCGAATTTTTTGATGAAAACATAAACTTCTCCTTCGGGAATTATTAAGTTGTTTTTTAATAAATTGTTTTCTTTTCATAAAATCGTGAGTTTTTTGAAAATCGTTTGTACTAAAGTAGTGATATGTGCTAGAATCTATTAAGATCTCTTGAACCAAGTTAATTCTAGATGAAATACGATTTCTAGAATTACATTTGATTTGAATAAAAAAAATGTATGCGCCTTTTATTTTCATGATAGCTCACTCATTTTACACGCAGGAGTCCTTTAACAGTACTCATTTCACAGCTTATGTTGAGCACTATAAAACCCCATTCCACTGGAATGTATAAAATGTAACACCCCGCCGCTAGATAACTTCAAATACAATAATTAAATCTTGAACTAAATGAAAACTGACTCTCTCTCTCATATCTAGCTTAATATTATTTCTAGAACACTTTATAAAACACCGATTTAATTGAAATAATTTTGTCCATTACATACGTTTATGCCAAAACATGATGTGATCAATGAATGAAAAAAACAACATGATTGTCGTTAAAATGTATACTTTCGGAGATATTTGCAAAAAACGACAAAAAACGCCAAAAAGAAACGAATTTTTAGTAGCCAGTAACTTGAAAAGTATTTATTTTTTTAAACATTTTTTCCTTATAATTAGTTTTTCTATCGATATTCGACGTTAGTTTGAGAAAATAAAATTACACCACTGGGAAAGGTGTCTTGTTTTCACTTTTGAACTTGATGGTAAGGTGAACCTAATTCCAAAACTTTATGCAAATCAGGGCACAGTAAAAAAAATTCAGGCCCAAAACACTCCAGAGACTGGAGTAAAGGAAGAGCATGGAGCATCCACAGTTCTTGCAGGTTTGCAGGCTCGGAGCGCAAAAGGTTTAAAAATTAGTCGTGCATTTTTTGATCATTCATTCATTTAATCGTTCGATTGGAATGATTCGAAAAAACGTTTTGTTTGTGTTGTTTTTCCTTTAAAATAATTCTAAATAATCAAAAAATAAATAAATAAATAATATTAAATCGTGATTTAAAAAAAAAAATCTTTAATAAATTTCAGAATATTTGGACATATTCAAAAAAAAAAAATTGAACATACACGTAAGTTTGTAAAATACACTCGTCGCACAATTTAATAAGCACTTATTGCAGTGTAAATAATAATCTATTTGAAATTATTTGAAACAATTATTATTCATTATTAAATAAATTTTATTGATTTTTATTACCCGAATGTTTGATTGCGATATGGAGAGCTCAAGTAATTTGTCTTAAGGCACAATACCATGCACCACTAGTTTGTATATAAGATATGTGATTAATAAACCCAAAAACAGCCCAAAAATTAATGAATTCGTTAAATAACAATTGCCGATTAGTAAAATTTTTCCATTTTTTGTTTAAAATTATGAACACGTTTTTCTTTCTCCATAGTAATTGCTACATTTGACACTAAATTCAATATATTATGGTAGTATTATACCTATAAACATATAACTTTAAGACACTGCACAAGATTGCTTCGTTCAGAAGTAATAAAATTTGCGATTACTTGTTCATACGGCTCATTACATCGACTCAGCTGTAGCTTTATATTTTGCTTAAAATCTTCCTTCACTCCCTTATCTGCATGTCTAGTTCCCATTCTTCTTTGCCTAGAGACATATTATAAATTAAATTATCTTTGTAATGTGTGATCTCTATACCTGGAACAAAAATCTAAAAAAAATGCGATTCTGCACATACTTCTCATGATTGATAGTTAAGCTGTATTAGATGCATCAACGAGAAAAATATTCCATTCAGCAAAACAACATATAATATAAGCTTTTAAGCATATCAGTATTTTTCGATTTTCAATAAATATACTGAGAAAACCAAACAACATACACATCACAGCACATAACAGATATCAAGCAACCAACTATCAAAATATGTTCAGAAAATTATGCAATAACTATTTTCTAGTTATAGTCTAAATATGGAAATATGTTTATATGCTATTTTTTCTAAAAAAAATTATCTATCCCCTTTTACCCCATAAGGGGCAAACACACATAATTTCTCGTTTTTAATTATAAGAGATATTTTCGAAATCAAACTATATTATTTACCCAATGCCAAATACAAATATCATGGACACATTTTTACAAAAGTTATACATAAAATATTCATCAGCAGAAGTGGAATAACTATTAATTTAATTTGTATCTTGTGAAATACCTAATATAATTTTCTTTACTATTATATATCTTATTTTATCACCTTAGGTTTAGTTGTTTCCTATTACAGAAAATACATGTAAGTTTTTATAGAAGTTAAATAAAAGAAATCTGTTGAATCTAATTGTAAGATGAAAATAACAATGCATATTATAAAACAATTAATTAACATATACTTACTTATAAATTATATGTATTTAGATATCGTAAATTAAAGTGGATCTTTTTAGTCTCAGACCTTTAAGCTCCACTGTACTCTATATTTATATTATCCTCCAGAAGGAGAAGTTTGTTGTCATCAAAAAATCCAATTTGCTAATTTTATGTTTTCTCGACGTTTCAATCCATACTGAATCGAATAATACCAAATTTGTAAAAAGTATGTGTGTTGTGAACAAAATTTTTACCTTAAATCGACGTTTTCTCAAGAACGGATAGACCGATTTCAAAAATTTAAAAGCCATTCGATGTATCTCGATGAGGACTGTCGTTTGTTAGTTTTGCTAACAATATTTTTTTGTTTTTTTTTTTAGATTTGGGCTAGTTTCGCCTATGTAAAAACCTTCGCAGTTTAGACAATTTATTTTGTACACTAAATAATTTAAGATTTTCGGATCAAATTTAGATTTTAATTTTGTGAATAAGGTAAAAGAGTGTTTTTTGTGGTAAAGACTACTCTAATTAAGAGTTTTTTTCTATGCGTAGTAAAGATCGTTTATTTATATGCAAGGCCGTGCCTGGCCAGCGTGCAGGCAGCCGAGGGGCGGCCAATTCAAAAAAAGAGCAAATTCAAAGGCGGCCATGACGAAAAGCGACCGTAATAAAAAGCGGTCGCGTTAAAAGTCCACTGAATTAAAAGGCGGGCAAATTAAAAGACCGCTGAATTAATTCGCGGCCGTATTGAAAGTCTTCTAAGTTAACAGACGACCTTATCAAAAATCAGCCGAAAGCGGCCGAGTTGAAAGCAAGATCGAATCAAAAAGCGGCTATTGAAGGCTTTGTTTCTAAATCATTTATAAGTATATAAACTTTATATAAGTGGAACTTTGTTTTCAAACAAGTTGCACTAACTTTCCAACATGTGTTATCGACTTAACTATAAACTAGTTGGTTTGGTATTTAGCCTTGAGGCAAGTTACATGAACTTCCCGATATATTTAAATAATCGACTTAATTAATAAAAAATAAATTAATTTATGAGTCATTAAAAGTATTCCGAGTGGATTTATTACACATAATTGAAAACGAACGAACTCGGAGTATTTTCTAAAAGCAAATTTTCAAAAATCAATAATTTTTATAATTGAACCAGTTTTCAGGACTTTAATGATTTATTATGTTCAAGACCAAGTACTCTATCATTATACCAAGTAAATAGTCTAATTTTAATTTTAACAAATGTCAAAAGAGCTACTCATTTTCTCAAACTTTGATGAATTTTTAAAATCAAACTATTTGTCTTAAGGCCGTAATATTTTAGTAAGTTCTATAAGACCATGGTATATATCGCTAAAAAAAAATCCATAAAAATCGGCTTAAATTTTTTTTTCAACGGTTAATTACAAGAAAACGGCTCGGTAGATTTTCACCTAAAACTGATCAGTATCATTCCCAACTAATATCTTTCGAACAGTTTTTGATTTTTTAAAATTGGTTCGGTAGGATGAGCTTAAATGTGGACGAAAAGTTTAACACTTTTTTTCAAATTACAAAGAAACGGCTTGGCTGATCGTCGCACAAAACTGACAAACGATAGTCTTCCCCTAAATACATCAAATGGCTTTTAAATTTCTGAAATCGGTTCAGGCGCTTTTGAGAAAACGTCGATCAAAAGTCTAATTTTGACAAATGTCAAAAAAACTATACCAATTTTTGCAAACTTTGACGAATTTTTAAAGCTAAACGAGTTGTCGTAGGGCCGTAATATTTTAGTATGACCTAGAAAACTATGGTATCTACCGTCAAAAAAAAGTCATAAAAATCGTCGAATTTTTTTTTTAAAAACGTTATTATAAGAAAACGGCCCGGCCAATCTTTACCAAAAACTAATCAGCACGATTCCCAACCAATATCTATCGAATGGTTTTTGAATTTTCAGAATCGATTCAGAATTGCGGGCTAAAACGTGGGCGAAAAAATTTTCACTTTTCTGCAATTTACAAAGAAACGGCCCGGCCGATCGCCGCACAAAACTCAAAGACGATAGTCCTCATCGAGATACATCAAATGGCTTTTAAATTTTTGAAATCGCTCCAGCCGTTTTGGAGAAAACGTCGATTTACGGCAAAAAATCTGTTCACACACACACACACACATACTTTTTCCAAATTTGGTCTCATTCGATTCAGAATGGCTTGAAACGTCGAGAAAACATAAAATTAGCCATTCGGATTTTTTGATGAAAACATAAACTTCTCCTTCGGGAAGTTAAAAATATATTAACTTATGAGTACATTGCAATGTAAAAAACTATCGCAGATTATTCAATTTTGTACAATTTTTCTAAATATGTTAGTTATTTTTATAAATGGTTCAAAAATTACATATTATTGTACAGGAAACAAACTTGTAGTATGTTCATTAAGTAGAGGATCCAAAAACGCGAAAAAAATGGTTAAGCCGATCAATGACAAAAACTAATCAGCACGATTCTCAAATAGTACCTTTGTAATGGTTTTTGAAGTTTAAAAATCGATTCACGAATTTATAAATATTTAGGCTATAACGTGGACCAAATATTTCACACTTTTTTGATAATTCTAAAGAAACGGCTCGGCCGATTTTGAGGCAAAACTAAACACTAGTGCTTATCGAATTTCATCGATTTTTCAAATAGAATTGGGTATTTCTAAGAAAACGTCGACAAAGATGAAATTTTGACTCACGTAAAAAAGCGTTGCTCATTTTTCCAAACTTTGATAGTATTTTAAAAATTAAAACGACTTATCGTAGAGTCTAAATATTTAGGTATATTCGAGACCATGATATCTATCGCCAATAAAGTTAAATAAATATTAAATATCATCGTAAAGAAATATTTAACAATTAAATACGAAGAAACGACCTGACCGATTTCTCAAAACTAATCAACACTATTCCCAAATGATACATTTCGAACAATTTCTGCTTTTTTAAAATCGATGCAGGATTTTTGAATAAAACGTGTACAAAAATTTTTATACTTTTCTGTTGACTATAAACGGCTTGGCCGATGGTTCCACAAAACTGACAGACGCTAGTCGTTATCTAGTTACATCAAGTGACTTCAATTTTTTAAATCGATTTAACCGTTTTTGAGAAAACGTTGACAAAAAGTCAAAAATCGGCTCATATATGCTTTTTTTATCAAATTTGGATTCAAACGATTCAGAATGACTTGAAATATCGAGAAAACATAAAAGTTACAAGTCGATTTTTTTCGTAAGAATATATTTGATATTTTGCTATTATGTTATTTTCAAGGGCGGCCATACATATTTTGAGAAAACCTCAATTTACGACAAAAAATCTGTTCACACACACACATACTTTTTCAGAATGGCTTGAAACGTCGAGGAAACATAAAATTTGCGAATGGTATTTTTTGATGAAAACATAAACTTCATCGGGAATCGTGCCTTAAGGCAAATTGCTTGAAGTTTTTAAAAAAGATTCAATTTTTTTTTAGAACTGAAAAAAAATGGATTTTTGAGATTTTTAAAATTTAAAAAAAAAAATACTTTTTGAAAAACCGTAAAATTCAATTTTTTTACCGTAAAATGTTGAACTTTTTTTTAAAGCAATCGCGATACGTTAGCTGAGTAGAAACAAAATAACGAAGCGCGTGGGCGCCGCATTGCAGCATAACGGATAAACATTGGTACAGAACCCATAGAAATGTGAACAAAATTTGTTATTATTAAAATATGTGATAATTTATCTCCGAAACCGCCAGACCTGCTTTCCAAAAATCATCAGTTCTTCATTTCTACAAATAAAATGTGTTTTGAATCATTCAGATCGGACGCTCTGTTCTCTCAAAAAGTGAATTACCATTTTTGGCACTTTTTGCCCCGTATCATCGGATCCTGACTTGTCCAAAAACTAATCAGCATGTCTCCTTATCAATAGGAGTCGAATTTTTTTAAATTATTCAAATTGGTTGATCCGTGTTTTCCAAATCGTCGACGAAAAATTGTATCCGCACATACATACATACATACACACACACACACATTTTGGTATGCCAAAATGTTCAGAAACCTTTGAAACGTAAAGATATATAAAAATTTTCATTTTCGATTTTTATGCGATTACTATGACTTACACTACGGAAAGTTAAATATGTATATAAAAATGTAAAACATGTTGCTAACAAAAAATAAATTGGTAGATAAATGATATTAAAAAATAATACTGATAATATTAATTACTTGCCCTGGATTTAACTCCAAATGAGGAAATATGTCAAACACTATAGAACCTCCTTGTTCTGAAGATAAATACATTATTTCTTCTAAAATAGCAGCATCAACTATGTATTTCTGCAAAAAATATTGATTAAAAAAATATAAACAATATTTTTAATTTCATATTGAATAAGCATACCTGAAAAAGTGGATATCGAAAAATTTGATTTTTACTTATAATTTCAAATATTCTAGAATATGTCGAACTCTCCTCTAATCGATCAAGTTGCATTAAGACCATTAAATGGCCTAACTCTAAATCAGATAAATTTGTTATGCTAATCTATTATAAAAAAGAACAATCAATCAAAAATAAACTGGCACAATAATTGATTTAGATGTGGACTTACTTTTAGAATGTGTATTAAAACTTTAGCACAATAATAAATTATGTGAGTGCTTGTTAAAGGTAAAAAGTGAAGTTGATGTTTGAATAATTGTGTTTGATTAGCTCGTATATTCTGGATATCACCTTGGTATGTTGGTAAATTAGATATAGTTGCATCAATATATTCAAAACATTGCTGAAATCAATGGTTCAATTGTTAGAAAAATTAAAAATGATCAAAGTATCTGCATAAATACTGTTTAGTTAACTTAGTTCAAAATAATTAAGATTTATATTTTATATAAATAATTGTAGAGCAAATTGTTTGTAATAAAACATAATTAATATATGTATATCAAATGCAATAAAACTTACTGAATACTGTTTCTGCTTTAGAGCAATTGATATCAGTTTCACATTTCTAGCAGAACTTGATAAAGAATTGGATACTGATCTCAAAGTGGTGGCAACATTATCATACTGTCCACGATACAGTGACATATCTAACCGAAAACTATCTAACCAGTTATCTAAATGTAATCCATACAGTAGTTTAGGAAAATCTATGAAAATATTAGACGATAAATAATTTAATCAATTATTGGTTTCTCGAATCACTAAATTTTAACACAGACCTCTTCTAAAATTATCAACAGAATGCATTAAATCCCAAGTTTTGATTGCAATATCTAGTGCATTCGATTCTTGAATGACCCCATCTATTTCAATACAAATTTCAGAATCTGTATTTTCCAGTTTTGGTCTTTTTGCAATATGATCTACACTAATATTAACAGCTAAAAAATATAACATTTTTAAATATTTTTAACTTCACCATACATTTAATAAAGTAATCATGTAAATGAAATATTTCCAAATTGTAACTACTTAGTGGTATATTGCATAGTGCAATGCCAAAATTGGCAGTTTTTTTTTCAATAATTGACATATTCAACCGAAATTGAGATTTAGACATTTAGATAAAATTTTCAACTTTTATTTCGAAAATAAAGTTTTCGCTTTCAATCAAATCTTAACATTACGATTTCCAGTTCATATCTCTCAAACACATTCAAAACTAGTTGGTATTGGAATTTTGCTTTGAGGCAAATTACATGAACTTCCCGATATGTGTAAATAATCGACTTAATCAATAAAAAATAAATTAATTTATGAGTGATTAAAAGTATTCCGAGTGCATTTATTACACATAATTGAAAACAAACGAACACATCAACTTAGAGTATTTTCTAAAAGCAACTTTTCAAAAATTAATAATTTTTATAATGAACCAATTTCCGTAGGACTTTAATGGTTTAGTTTAGTATGTTCATTAAGACCGAGTACTCTACCGTTATACCAAGTAAATCGTCTAATTTTAATTTTAACAAACATACAAAAATCTACTCACTTTCTCAAACTTTGATGAATTTTTAATATTAAACTACTTGTCGTAAGGCCGTAATATTTCAGTAAGTTCTATAAGTCCATGATATATATCGCGAAAAGAAGTTCCATAAAAATCGGCTTAATTTTTGTTTTTCAAAAGTTAATTAAAAGAAAACGGCTTGGTAGATTTTCAACTAAAAAGAAGCAGTATCAATCCCAACTAATACCTTTCGAACAATTTTTGATTTTTTAAAATAGATTCGGTAGTATGAGCACAAAACTGAAAAACGATAGTCCTAATTGAGATACATCAAATGGTTTTTAAATTTCTGAAATCGTTTTTGAGCAAACGTCGATGAAAAATCTAATTTTGACAAATGCCGAAAAAAAAAAACGATACTAATTTTTGAAACTTTGACGATTTTTTTAAATAAACGTCGTAGGGCCGTAATATTTTAATATGATCTATAAGACTATAAGTATCTACCGTCAAAAAAATAATAATAATAATCGTCGACAAAAAATTCTCATCGAGATATATCGAATGGCTTTTCAATTTTTGAAATCGGTCCAGCCGTTTTTGAGAAAATGTCGATTTACGGCACACACACACACTTTTTCCAAATTTGGTCTCATTCGATTCAGAATGACTTGAAACGTCGAGAAAACATAAAATTAGCGAATTGGATTTTTTATGAGAACATAAACTTCTCAGACATGTGCTCATATGTCCTAAAATTGAAGTCCCTTATTCCGAAATTTAATGAATTTATATAATTCAACCAATTTTCGTAGAACTGTTGATTGCACAACTGTTCACTGCATAAACTTTAGCGACATATTAAATTTTATGAAAAACGTCGCAACATTTTTTAAAAGAATCAATCAATTATTTTGTTCTTTAAGACCATGATGTCTATCAACATAAAAAGTTTCATCAAAAAGATTTTCAACAGTTGTTTACAAAGAAACGGCTCGACCGATTTTTGTCCAAAACTAATCTGCAGGATTCCAAGATAATAAATCTTTCTAATCATTATATATTATGTTATCGACATTCCAAAACCAACTACAATATTGCAGTTCTGATATTTTTAGATTATTAATATTTAAACCAAAAGATTGGTGGTTCGAGCCCACCCGCGGGCGTAAAATAAGTATTTTTTACTCGTACTGTTATCACCAGTTCAAACTTTCAAACCGTTTTTGAATTATTAAAAGATAGATTCAGAATTTTTCACTTTTTAACAGTTAGATTGGTAGTCATTTTAAATACAATTATCTAATATTGGGTACTTAGTAATAATAAATTTACCTTTATGAAGTTCAATAAGTGTTGTTTTGACATAATTCCCCTTTACACAGCATATTAAATCATTTGTATACTCATGAAGACATTTTAGAAAGAGTATTGTACCACAAAACAATAATTTTTTATCATCGCCATTCATTGGTTGTTTTTTTGGTGTTAATCTTTGCAATAGTTTGGAATAATAATTTTCCTTGTTCCATGAGTTATCGAAACAAACCAGGTGGTTTTCCCAACCCAACTGTTTTCCAACAAACTCAAGAATACTAAATGTTTTATTCCATATGCTCCAAGAGAATTGTGTGCTTTGTTTCTATTAAAATGCAAACCCAAAATAATAATTGATATGCAAATGATTATACGATGTTTATATCTTACCTCAGTGTTATACAATTTATTCATGTAAAAATCTATGCTTTTTAGGAATAATCTATGAAGCATATTTACTGGAAATATTGAAGGTGTTGTCTGCATTGGAGTTATTAAAGGCATTACTTCATCCATGAGCAGTTCTACCCAAGAGGTTGTTCCAGAACCATAGCATTCAGCGGAAAGTAAAGTTTCAACAAGGCTAGGCTGATGATAATAAATGAAATAAATAAAAATTCAAGCTTATGGTTATGCCATTATAAAATCATTAAAGATTTTATTATTTTAGTGAAAGCCATTATTAGTCATCAAATAATAAGTAATAACTAAGCTAAGTAATAAAGAGTAATATAAATTATATAAATTTTTAAATTTTGATTGTTGAATAAAAAGATAATTTGTCCTTGCATAATATTTCATTTACTACTCACCCCATATGTACTAATGGTTTTAGGAAATTTATGAACAAGAAGAAGTAATAATCTGCAATGTTCCAATGTATCCTCGCTATGATCTGCAGTTAGCATGAGCAGTTTATGTTGGACCTGTGTGTTAGATACTCTCTTACATTTATGTATTAATTTTGATTACTTGAATACAATACTGAGAATGACACTATAACTATAACATAAATCGAGAGCAAATAACAATAATCCTAGCAGTCGTTAAGACATGTTATATAAAAAAGTAAGACAATTTGTGTACATCTAAGTAATTTAAAAATCAGTAGTGTTAGAGCACATGAAGCAAACAATGAAAATAATCTAATTAAAATTTGACAAAACTGATAAGTTAAAAGAATAAACTTAAATTATTTGTAATTTCATTTAATAAGTCACAAGCAATAAATAAATTTAACAACTGTTGGATAAAATATAAAAATTACCTCTTCATTTAAATTCTGAAACATGTCTGATAAAAACTCTTGTTCTGCTGTTAAGTCTTCTTTCGGACATCGTAAAGCTGATGCTATTGCAGAAACTTCATCCCATAATTCTGGAGGTGGTTGCTTGAAATTACTTATTCTAAAAGTATAAAAGATTGAAAATAATAATTTAAAAAAGTAAGCTTGATACTTGTAATAAATCTGTAAAACTATTATATGTAATTGACAGTACTGTGTTTAGTGATGCACAAATATCCATGGATAAAAAAATAATATATATTAATTTTAATGCGCAAGCATGAATGAAATCATTTTTTACATATTTCTTACTCTTGAACACCTAATATTTCCTTGTAAAACACAAATTTAAAATTATGTACTAAAAAGCAAAAAAAAAACAGTAACATTTTTTAAGCATATGGTCATTAGTTTAGATATAAAGTAGTGATGATTATACTTTTTCTGATGATAACACTTGAGACTGCTAATCGAGATAAATATTTGAAAATTGATAGATAGCATTCCCTGTTTGCAACATATGAGTAATGATACATATGCTAATTTGACAAACAGAACAATTTTGTGTAAATATAATAAAAGTAAGACAATGAATTTAAGATTTCTAGTAACAATCATTCTACACATTTTATTCAAACAATCATTCATATTTGATCCAAATATTTTAAAATTTGCCTAGCATAAACTTAAGTACAGGTAACCCCCAGACAACACGGTTGTTATGTTTCAGAAAACTAGGGTGTTATGCGAATCCATGTTATAAAGGACAAAGAACTAGTACAAAAAGAGGGGTTACGTTCCAAGAATTCGAAAAAACATGCTACATATCACAATTTTATAATAAATATTGTTACATTTATTCATTTTTTAAGAAGTAATATACATTACTTGATTTATATAATTTTTTCGTCATAATTAACAAGTAAGTGCTATCCAACATGATCCTTTTTTGCAAGATATCCTCATCCCCTGAGCAGTTTTCTAGACTACTCTCAGATCCATGCATTATTTTTTGAAAAAAAAAATTATATTTGGGATTACTTGTTTTTTACATATTTATATATTTAACACATGTAAAGTAATCCTTATTACTTTACTTTATTTTATTTGAAGAATTGCTTAAGAATTATTTAATATGTTGCTTGGATAATCCTAGAATTTTTTTTCGATAGAACGTACGCGCTCCAATAATATATATCAAATTAGTTATTTTTTGCACTAGTTTGATCACATTTATTGGGCGATTTTACTAATTTTAGATTAGATAAAGTTTGCATTTCATAGCTTTTACTATATTTCTTATTTTATTAAAACTTTCCTCAATTCTTAAACCGTGTTATGCAAACCCAAAAGTACCGTGTTATGAGGGGGATTGTCTCAATTCTTAAACCGTGTTAGAGCAAATCCATGTTATAGAAGCACCGTGTTATGCGGGGGTTACCTGTACCTAATTCAAATTAGACTGAAAAAAAATTATATAACTACATGAACATACATAAAATTAAAATACTTCGCCGATTTCTCCACATCGCGATCCAATTTTTCAATTTTATATGCTTCATACTGAAAAGACATAATATTAAATAAAAAAAACAAGGATTAATCACACTTAAGCATCGAATAACAGGTATACCTGCACTCCAAAATGATTTGGAAATAAAGTTTGTGCAGTTATAATAAGAGCCTTTGCCCTACATGAATCAGTCTCTAAAAACTGTTTAGCTTTTAAAATAACTATATCTTCTTCGGTGTTATTTAAAGCATTGCAGTTCATCATCATTTATAAGCAGATGGCTATGGTTAAAGCTAATGGCTAAAGAAGAAAATCAAACTATGTTAAAATTTGAACATTTATTTGCATTATTGTAATCCATTGGAATTTTTATGAAAACTTGATTATTATCATAAATATCAAAAACATTGCAATAACAAAATAGAGACACTTAAATGACATAAGTGAAATAATCAAAAAAGCATGTTGTTTTAATTTGAAGTTCGTAACATACAAAAGAAGGGTTTCAACATAGATAAATAAACATATGAGTTTCAAGCATAGACCTATGTTATGCCGCGCTCCACTGTACGAATCCGTGCGGCGAATGGTGCGTCACGAACAAATTTGCGCAGCGGAGTGATACTGTGCGAACGCACGAATTTCCTTCAAGGTTTATGGTTTCAAGTAAACTCCTAAGTAAACTGCTGACAACATAACAGAACTTACATTATAGATAAGAAGATAAGCATAGATAAGTAAACATAAATAGATCGCTATCTGAGGCCATTTGACATTACCGCCCGCCATTTTAATATTTTTAGCGATCTGAAGAAGGCAGCACTTGTTCAGTATATAAATCAACCGCTGGTATTATTCCTAGATATGGTGTGCATACGTAATTCAAAATAAGAAAACCTAAATAATTTCTCATATTGGAAATGAGAAAAAAAACATACGAAGTACAAAATATATTTTCAAATATATCACAAACATTTTTACATAACAATTAAAATTTTTATAAATGTAATAATCAATATATACATAATAATAAGTATTATAATTTTACAATTATAAGTAACTAAAAAAAGTATTCACAATGGTATGATAAATTTACAAGGAACGGTCAATATGAATTACTTAATGATCAATAATATATAACTACACAGAGATTGTGTAGAAGCATTTACAATAAAATGTTAAACTTAAAAGGAACGATCAATATGAATTACTTAATGATCAATAATATATAGCAACTACACAGAGATTGTGTAGAAGCCTCTACAATAAAATGTTAAACTTAAAAGGAACGATCAATATGAATTACTTAATGATCAATAATATATAGCAACTACACAGAGATTATGTAGAAGCATTTACAATAAAATGTTAAATTTAAAAATAACGATCAAAATGAATTACTTAATGATCAATAATATATAGCAACTACACAGAGATTGTGTAGAAGCATTTACAATAAAATGTTAAACTTAAAAGGAACGATCAATATGATTTACTTAATGATCAATAAATATATAGCAACTACACAGAGATTGTGTAGAAGCATTTACAATGAAATGTTAAACTTAAAAGGAACGATCAATATGAATTATTGAATGATCAATAAACAACTATACAGAAATATTGTAAAAGTTTTCATAAGTATAATGAATTCAGGGGGCGTCCATTAATCACGTGAGCTAGTTTTTAAGGATTTTTGGACCCCCCCTCCCCCTTGGTGATACGTGATGATATTCAAAATTACCCCCCCTCCCCCACCAAACTTCACGTGTATTTTTAGTTACGTGAAAAAACTAAAATTTTTGATTCTTTTTTTGAAAATGTTAGTTTTTTTTTTAAATCAGTTGAAAAGTAAATACACGTGATATATTACCATACCCCCCCCCTCCCCCAAGTAATATTTTGTGATTTTTTATCAAACCTCCCCTTCCCCTAAAATCCTCACACCCCAGATAAATATCCCAGAATAAATCTGGATGCAGATAAACAAGTATAAAGCCTGGATGAATAGGTAGAAGCCTGGTAGAAGCATATACTCTTCTTTTATCTATGGGTAGAAGGGTAGAACCAGGTAGAACGCATTTAATTTTTAGCGTTTCAGCGCTTGGTTGTCAAGCGATATGCGAAAAACAGCGCTCATTTTCTAGCTCTCCGAATGAAAAAGTCAAAATTAGAATCATTAGAATCTAGTACACATTGACTAAGGTTATGTTCATATCTATATTCTTAAATCTTTTTTACCTATGGGTATGTCAAATGGGTGTAGGGAAAATGTCAAAGAAATGTCAATGTCAAAAAGTACTTGCTTATTTTGAGGTTAATGCCACAAAATACAATGTGTATATTTTGACTTCCTCTCATCTTATGTATTACAAAAATTATAAATCATGTGCCGCTGCGCAAAATTAAATATTTTTATGGCTTATAGAAATTGAGTTATTTATTTTAAAAGATAAATTGAAATGCTTCATAAAAAACTTATTGTTTTGTATTTATTACTATTGTTATTATCAAATATAGAATGCATAGAACCAATAACAGGGACTATTTTTGGAGGAATAGCTGCTATGGCTGGAAGTGCGATATTCTATAACTCTTTTGATATGTTAAAAGATAATACATACTGTAAATATGCAGAATGCTGTAACAGTTATTCTATTCCCTATGATATTAAAAGTATATTTAACAGCATTTTCTGTATTATCTGATTCACCAGATTTATTGAAATAATTTTTTTAGAACTTTATACTTCTCTAACACATCACGTTTATGGGCAGCATCTTGTTCTCGATACTGTTGTACCTGCCATACAAGGCCATATATCATCATCATCTCCAAAGAAACCACTGACATTAAGCTTTCATGGCACTCCTGGAAGTGGTAAAAATTATGTATCTCAATTTATAGCTAATAGTTTGTACAGGTATGGAGAAAAGAGCAAATTTGTGCATAGTTACAATGGCGGATTACATTTTCCTCTGCAAAGTAAAGTTGACGAATATAAGGTATGATACTATGCCATTCAAATCGAATTTGTTATAATCTCATACCTTTAAAACATTCAATGATCTATACAATATAATTATGTGATTATCATTGATTTGTTTTATAGGAAAAATTAGTATCTGATATTAAATCAGCTGTGAAGGCATGTGATAAATCTTTATTTATTTTTGATGAAGTTGACAAAATGCCTGTTGGAGTTCTTGATGCCTTGAAACCATTTTTAGATTACAATGCTCATATTGATGGATTGGATTTCCGGTAAGTTGATAATAATTTCACTATATTCACATTCTAAATTTAATTATATTTTAGGAAATCTATTTTTATTTTCTTATCTAACAAAGGAACTAAAGAAATAACATTCCATTTGATTAAGTTATGGAACGACGGTTTGGAAAGAGAGAAAACAAAGCTTTCTCATTTTGAGCCACTTGTTATTAAAGGCGCTTTTGAAGAAGAAGGTGAATACTCTATTAGTTTATTTGGATTATTAAATAGAGCTGGCCTGGTGAACATTTTACTACCTGCAATTAATTTGTTTCCATTTAATTGTAAGTGAGCGTTCGTATTATTCAAATTGCATTAATGTTTTCTTCCTGTATATCTTCTTTGTTTGATTTTAATATATTATTCTGATACAAATGATGCGATGAAGGTCAAAAATTTTTATCAAGTGTCTTCTTAGATGCTTGTATATGAATCGATAGAAAATCACAACAAGAACATATATCACAAGATAAACAGCAAAAATTAAAAAAAGAAAAATGATATGATGAAATCAACCGGTTTTCGCCAATAAGTTTTATGAAATATGTACAACATAGTTTTTATTCAGTTATTTTCAATTAACAATTTTCATTAAATAGCATATAGGCATTAGTTTCTAATAATTCCATTTTACTTCACTTGATACACCAGGCCTCTCAATATAAATACTCAATGAAATTGATATTTTTAAAATATTAAAGCAGAATGATATTTATATGCTCATTTCCTCTTTTTTTAAACTCTTTTTACAGTTTGTCTTAGCAATTATATAAAAAACTATGTGTGATAGCGTCCCCTTGATGATGTGACTGCATTTTTCGCATGCATTGCATTCATTGTTTTTTTTAAAGTAAAATTAATGCTTTGCACTAGGTCAGAAAAATGTCATTTAAAATTCAGATTAATTATTCGATTACTAAAATGGCTATTATGAATTAGAGATCTGTGGAAGGAGGGTGAAAATTTAGAGTTGTGTGCATTTTTTAATTTAATATTGTGAACATTGATTAAAAATTTTAAGACTGATTAAAAATTTTAACTGACAAACGATAGTCCTCGTCGAGATACATCTAATGGCTTTTAAATTTTTTAAATCGGCCCAGCCGTTTTCGAGAAAACGTTGACTTACGGCAAAAAATCTGTTCACATACACACACACACACACATACTTTTTCCAAATTTGATCTCATTCGATTCAGAATGGCTTGAAACGTCGAGAAAACATAAAATTAGCGAATCGGATTTTTTTATGAAAACATAAACTTCTTCGGGAAGTTAATAAATAGTATCTTGAAGTAAAAAGAGTTTTATGTATTTTTCAATTTTGAAATTAAAATATAACATTTTCGAATTGTATGATTTTAAAGATATACGTACAATTATTTGAAACGTGTTTTAGGATTATGATAAAAAAAAACGAAATTTTGTGATTGAAATAGCTGGTTTGCTCAATTTGCGAACAACCTCTGCGTTAAATTAATTATCTCCAGAATTCTTTTTTTTTATTATTATACTTATATTGAAGTCCACTTTATAATAATTTAAAAACAATCTTTTTGCAAATTTCTTAGCAATAACAACCCTTAAATATTTACAAAGATTTTTCAACCTTTCCCCAAATTCAATCGATTGAAAAAAAACATAGCAGAGAAAAAAAGAAAAAAACACGTAGCAGAGTAAAAAAAAAATGTTTTTTTTAACCTTTATAAACACTCAAGGGTTTTTATTGTTAAGAAAATTGCATTTTTTTTTGAATTGTTATAAAGTTGGCTCTAATATGGTACAATAAAAAAAAATACTGATCCAATCAGCACAACTGGAAATAATTAATTTAACGCAGAGGATGTTCATAGAAACAGTATTTTGTTTTCAGTTCAAAACTCGAAACTTTTTGAAGTATGCAAAAATTATATATTTCTAATATTGAATACAGCTTATCACCTAATTTGGATATAAATGCACGCGGTGAACAAATAAAATTTAAAATCAGTTAATTAGTTCAGGCGTCCACCGCGAACTAATATCGTGGCACGAACTTTATTGGCTGAATTATATAAATTCATTAAAATTTGGAAAAATAAGCTTCAATTTTAGGATATTCAAGCACGTGTCTGCGCACTATAATTAATATAATTACAGATAGT